GTTAAGGGACACAAGGAGTGTTTTTTAATGATGAATATGCTAAGTATCCTGATTGAATCATCATACATTGTACACAGATATAGATTATTTAACTCTGTATGCCACCAATATGTGTAATCAGTTATGTTTCAATAAAAAATAAAAATAATAATTTTTTAAAAAACCAGGTTCAACACAGAAGGGGCTAGAACAGCTTGAGGATGTAGAAACTATATAGCTGCCCAAATGTTCATTGAGGTAAAAATCTTGTATCAAATCAGTAATTTCACCAGCACCCCCCTGAATGTGCATGTGTGCACACACACACAACTTGCTTTGACTTAGCTGTATTTTACATATGGATATAACATCTAAAATCAAACTCTTAATTATCTCTTCTGCTTGGGCAAATTTTGGAGAAAATACAAACCTTGAATTCAATCCAGTTCAATAAACATTTGTTGAGGGCTGACTGTGTGTCAAACTCTGGCATTAACACAAGAGACACCAACTACAAAGCTGCTGTTGGGCAGCTCGCAGTCTGGTAAGGAATATAGACATGTCAAGTGTTACATGCAGTACATCATGCACATAGGACTGTGGAAATATGGTAGATGTGCAGAAATAATATAGAGAAGAACTTGGTCCTATCTGTGAAGTCCAGGTAAAATTTTATAGAGTAGGTGAAGCCCAAAAGTCTTTTGAATGATAAATTGGAATTTGAAAAGTGGGCATAATGAGTGTTGCTCATAGAAGAAACATGTCACAAGGGATTAAATGTGTAAAACAGTAAGGTAGAGCAAGGAGTAACCATCAGGTAGACGGGGGGAGGAAGGGCTCACCTCCCATGGTTGGACTTTATTCTGTGGACAATAGTGAGGTTTTAATGAAAGGGTTTTAAACAGAGGAATGTCAAGTTAGATTTGTGAGTGATGGAATAAAATTTTTTAAATAAGAATTTGCAGGCACCCTCCTTGCTAAAAAAACAAAGAACAAAAGCCACTCATAAAATTCTTTTTTTTTTTTTTTCTTAAACAGGTTTATTGAGTTGTGGAGTACATAATGTAAAATTCACTCATTTTAAGTGTACAATTCAATATTTTTTAGTAAATTTATAGAGTTGGACAGTTATCAGAACAATCCAGTTTGGGACATTCCTATCACCACCTCCCCCACCCCCAAAAAATGTCCCTCCTGCTGACTCACAGTTAATCCCCATTCTGATCTCCTTTCCTGCCTCAGCCCCAGGCAACCACTAATCTCCTTTCTGTCTCTATAAATTTGCCTTTTCCGAACATTTCATATAAATGGAATTGAATAACATGGGTGCTTCTATGTCTGCTTCTTTCACTTAGCTTAATGTTTTTGTGGTTTCTGCCAGATGGTTATTAGACAAATAAAACAGGAGTATTTTACTCCCGAAGAGACTATGAACAGTGGGAAAACAATGCATATGCTAAAAATGTTGCATAAGCCTGCCCAAAGAATGGAGGACAGAAGGGACTGAGGGACCGAGCTAGTGAGACTGGGATGGCAGGGAAAGCGAGTTGAGTTGGAGGAGAAGAATCAGTAGTGCACAGTAAGCCTGCCCAAAGAATGGAGGACAGAAGGGACTGAGGGACCGAGGTAGTGAGACTGGGATGGCAGGGAAAGCGAGTTGAGTTGGAGGAGAAGAATCAGTAGTGCACAGTTACAGGAAAGTGGAAGAATACATGCCAAGGTATTTTAATAACATTTGCTGAAGTCTAAATACTTGAACTCTATTTCCTCCCCACCTAAACGGTGTGAAATGGGTATTTTTAAAGATTGGATTGCTTGTTTGTCATTACCACTCTAGAGGTATCACAAGCTTTGTTAGCTTCTTGGAGTGAGGTCACCTCTCCAACAAACATATTACCTCAGAGAAAGCCAAGGGTTCATTTAAATCATGACAGACTGACATCTGCAGTTAAAATGTAAAAGGGCAAAAGTTAATCTAGAAAGAGCTGTGTTGTCTCTGAAAAACCACTGAAGAGCCACCAGGATATTGCGGTGATCACACCGAAACTGGAATAACAAATTTTTGAGAATGCAAGATTGGTTTAGAAACACCTGTTCAGTTGAAGAAACAGTTGCAGGTGGCATTGTGAGGATACACAGTCATAAAAAAATTAAAGTTCTTTCTGCAAGAAAAGACAAAGCTGCAGCCTCTATTTTTAAGCTCTACCCTAGTCACTGAGAGAGGCTGTCCTGCTGATCTGGCTGCTACTGTAGGACTAGAGATAATGTAAGTCTTGGAGTTGCTTCTATGAACTACTTGTCACCAGAAAAATCATGGGTTTACAATGTGGCTAATGGAATAAAAAGATTTTGATTTTAGGGCAATAAAAATATTCTTCATG